TGTGTGTGTGTGTGTGTGTGTATGTATGTGTGTGTGTGTGTAAGTGTGTGCGTGTGTATGTTAGTGTGTGTATGTGTAACACCATGGCACACCACTTGTGACACAGACCACTTTGTCTAGCCCTCTCTGTGAAAGCTGGTCTTTGTCAACACAAAAATTTATGCGTGTTACTTTGCCTGAAGGGTCTTTCGCTGATGATCTTGTTTGGTGTAGAAAGGGCATGCTTTCGTTCACAGTGTTTGTGTGTGTTTGTTAATGAGTTGTTTTCTGTGATGGGTGTGTTTGTGTGTGTGTGTGTGTGTGTGTGTGTGCGCGCGTGTGTGTGTGTGTGTGTGTGTGCGTGTGCGTGTGTGAATTTGTGACATGCGTCAGTGTGTGTGTGTGTGTGTGTTTGTGTGTGTTTTGCTTGTTCTGTTGTGATGGTGCGTGTTTGTGAATGATAATTTTGTGTTTGAGTGTGCGTGTGTGTTCTGTTCGTGTTTGTGTGTTTTGTGTTTTGTATTTGTGTGTGCTTTTGTGTGTGTATGTGTGTGTGTTTGTATATGTATGATGTGTGTATATGTCCTTATGTTTTATGTATGTTAACATGTGTGTCTGTCTATCCGTCTTTGTGTGTGTGTGTGTGTGTGTGTGTGTGTGTGTGTGTGTGTGTGTGTGTGTGCGTGCGTGCACGCAGAGGAGTGGGTATTGTTTTTCGAGGGATAAACTTCGCCTGGAAAGGGGTTGGAGAGGGGGGGAACATAACAACCAAGATCGCAGTCGACTTAGCTCAAAACAACACTGCTCTTTCTTGAACATAGATACCATCTTATTTTTTTTCCTTCCTGATTTTGCTTTTAAGCTATTTTTGCTGCACAGGGGAGTCACACTTGGTTGCTGGATCGCATTCAGTCTTTGTCTTTAAAAGGGGAAAAAATAAGGGGTCGGGGGTTGTTTGTTTTGTTTTGGTTTTCGGGACTGAAGAGGTAGGGGGGTCGGTGTGGACTCGAAATCCTACTTGTTTTTTTGGGTTTTTTTGGTGGGGGGAGCGGGATGTTTATTTCTTATTGTTATGGTTTGTTATCACAACCATCATCCCATCACTTTTTAAACTCCGCGAGTGAAGATGCGAATCTCGCATGGTTTGAACTACAGACACTTAAAAAGTGTACAGTGGAATAAAAAGAAGGAATGAGAGAGAGAGAGAGAGAGAGAGAGAGAGAGAGAGAGAGAGAGAGAGAGAGAGAGAGAGAGAGAGAGAGAGAGAGAGAGGGGGGGGAAAGAAGAGGAGGGTGATGAGAACGAGGGTGATGAGAACGAGGGTGATGGGGATGAGGAGGAAATAGAAGGAGTAGGAAGAGGTTGAGGAGGAGGAGGAAAAGAAGGAGGAGGAGGTGGTGCAGAATATGAAAGCCTGACGATGTGAGAGTGGAAAAAATCAATGCACGTTGGGGGGATAATTGTTTATTAGTTTTGTAAACATCTTTTTGAAATGTTTTGAACTACTAGGCTATAGTAATACTATGTTAAATTACTTGTTTGTAAAAAATTCCACTAATTTTGATTATTATATCATGGATTAGAGACTACATGCATGTGGTAGACCTAACCCCGCGCTCAAACCTTGCACTTTTCGACAGAAATTATTTTTGTCTAGAAATAAACCAAAAAATGTAAAGCTCAGGAAGTTGGTATTCGACACACCCAGAACTTGCAAAAACGCTTTTGCTTTTCGGGGATAACACACATTTTATTTCGATTGCTTGTTAGATTAAGCAGAAGGAGTATGAGTGACTCAGACCACACTCAGACAACAGGATTCTATTTTAGGAACTTCCAAAGTGAGACGGCACACTTCAGATCGAGGCGAGCGCATCTTCGTTGGGATAGACCCAGCGTGAGTACTCGAGCGTAGGACAATCATCCATTCAGAATTTACGTGAGCAAGGGGTCATCTCAAAAGTTTTGCTGAAGTCTGTTCGGCATAGAAGAAAATCTCTTTGCACATTCTCGGGAGTGGATACTGTCATCACAAATTAGAGTCAGTCAGATTTGAGATATTACGTGTACTAAAACAACTTTGGTGTCTTTAAAAACAAACGCATTAAGTGTTTTGGAACTTAGACATATTCCATCAGTCTACAGCCTGTAAACGGCGTTTTTTTTTTCTTTCGAAGATTCTTTTAGACAATTTGATCAAGTACCACACCGAAAACGATCTCAGTTTAATCCATTGCGTATGTGATGTAGATGTAGTGATAGACTCAAAGGGCTTAGTTATAAAATCAACTTCACTCAGAAAAGTCCACTCTGCTTCTATACGTCTATCTGGCTAATATGTTACTTTTAGGTGGGATGAAGAAGATGTGAATGCCAGAAAAGCCATTTTCGGTCTTCCATAATGGAACATATTAATTTGCCGTTTCCACTTTTATTTCTCTTCTAATTGGACTTAATTTTTTTCGCCCAGCGTAATGTATATTGTTATGAATTTCGCACAAATAGCTGATGGGGGGGGGGGGGGGGT